TCATGCCTTTCCCTTCCTGCCTGTAGGGTTTCTGTTGAGAAGTCAGCTGAGAGCCTTATGGGGGTTCCTTTGTAAGTAACCTGTTGCTTATCTCTTGCTGCCTTTAGGATTCTCTCTTTGTCTTCAAGTTTTGGCATTTTCATTACTATGTGTCTTGGTGTGAGCCTATTGGGTTCTTCTTACTTGGAGCTCTCTGTACTTCTTGAACTTGAATGCATTCTTTCTTTACTAAATTAAGAATGTTTTCTGTCACCATTTTTTCAAATATATTCTCTAACCCGTGTTCATTTTCTTCCTCTTCAGCGACTCCTATGATGTGAATATTATTATGTTTCCAGTTGTGCCACATTTCTCATAAGCTGGCTTCCTGATTTTTAATTATTTTTTCCTTTTGGTTTTCTGATTGGTTGATTTTTTTTTTACTTTGTCTTCTAAGTCACTGATCTGGTCCTCAGCTTCCTCTACTTTGCAGTTTAGACCTTCTAATGTGTTCTTTATTTCTGATATGTCATTCTTCATTTCTTCTTGGTGGTTTTTAATTTCTAACTGGTTTATTTTCTACATTTCTATGTCTTTACTCATGGTGCTCATGTTTTTACACATGCTGTTGAGCTTCAAGATCATGGCTCTGAATTCTAGTTTTGTTAACTTGCTTAACTGAAGCTCATTTATCTCATCTTTCATAGAGGTTTCTTGTTATTTTATTTGTCATTTGTTTTTTTCTTTCACCATTTTGGCTGTCTCAGTGGGTTTTGGAGCCTGCCAAATTTTCCCTGTGGGTGTAGGTGTTCTGCTGTTTGTGGCACCCTCTACTGGGTTTGGATGAGTGTGGTGGTACCCATTTTAAACACCACTGTCAAGTCTTACCTTCCTGGGCAGAGTTGAAAGCTCAGGAATGGTTCAGTTATTATCTAGGTTTTGCCTGGAGGCAATTATTCACAGCTACTTGAAAAGCTTTGGCTTCTCAGTTGAATCAAAACTCCCTCAGGTATTCAGAGTAAGGGAATTTCCGGAGGCTAGGGCACATGCTGATTGTTAATGAGTCTCAATTTGCATTTCAATGGCCAATGGGTGAGGTTGAAACTCTGAGGGAGAGCCCATTGCCTCTCCCCAGAGCCCTGGGAAGAAGTAAGATGACCACTGTCCCGTGTCACTGTTTTGTTATTAATATAAGCTTTCTTGGATGATTTAAATTTTCAACAGGATTTGTATGTTATGAGAAAAGACCCAGTTAATAATTTATGAGACATCAGTTTTGGATTGAATTTTGGCATTAGCTGGACATGTCACCCTGATCAAATCACTGAACACGTATAATCCTCAGTACAATAAAGCTTATGTGATCACTAATGGCTCTAATGATTCTAAAGTGTGTATTTCTGAAACACAGATATTTTATTGTAATTCTTATTCTGTGACAAAATGCTAAATTGAAGAGTACTAATCACAAACACACATTTGCATAGCAACAAACATACACATCAACACACATATGTTAATATTTTCAGTACAAAACTTATTTAGAACTGCTTATTTCAATAGATACTGATACTGAATACTTACCAACTGCTTTTGGAAGAGGTATAATAAAAGAGGAAGTCAAGAAAAAATCAAAGAGTCACTCTGGTAAGAACAATAAAATTGTTAGTCTAGTTAATATTTATCTTCTCAGAAATTTATTTAAGTTTGTACGTGCAATGACCAGAGAACCTATATTCTATTATTACACAATAAAACATTCTTATATATTCTTCCTATAATCAATTGAACTCTACCTTCAATGGAATATTAGCAACATAATATATGATTTAATATGCACACCCAAGCTCAATGTAATCTAAGTAGAGTAATTACACCGAATTGCACAACCAAACCTATCATGGTAAAAGTTATAAAGGCCAAAAAATTATTAAAGACACAAAGGGGAAAGAACTCATCATAGAAAAGAGAAACTTGGTGAGATTAATAGCTGATTTCAGTCACAAACTATGGAGGACCACAGGCAGCTGGATGGCATTTTTACTGAGATAATAGAAAAAAATGTTATCATGGATGTTGTATCCAGCCAAACTCTCTTTCAGAATGAAGGAGAGAAAAAGAGATTCCCAATTTAAAAAAAAAAGAAAAACTAAAAAGAGGAGTCTGGCTGCCAGCAGACCTGATTTAAAATACTAGAAAAGAAGGTTCTTTATGTTGAAAGCAATTGACTTAAGGCAGTAATTTGGATCTACTTTAAGGAAGCATGAATTCAAGGAATTTTATAGTTCCAAAGGCAGTATGAATGCATTTTTGTTTCTGTAGTGGATTTAAAAGATATTTGTATTGTAGTGACTACAAAATATGGAAAAGTAATACTTTATACAGTAGCATGACAAAAGAGATGTGTGGGATGTGCAATGTATTTGAGTAAGATGATAGAGCAGACCTTAACTTAAATGCACAGGAACATATAAAGAGAACAAAAAATTATAAATAAGGCAGATTACATTTTAAAAATTTGTAAATATATACATTTATTTTGTCTCTCAGCTTCTTCAGAGGGAACACAGTTATCAAAATATAAGTATCACAAATACGTTTATACTCAGTACCATAGTGCCCCATTGTTTGCAGTTTTAAGTAGTGCATTTAGTAATTCATGCTCAATCTCCAGCCAAATGTGTCAAATGGAAAATTTCAGATGAATAATTCCTAAGTTTAAAATTAACAATTATTCCACGGAGCATGATAAATCTCATGATGACTTCTCTGTCCCACTCAGGACATGAATAATCCATTTGTTCAGCCTATACACACTGAGCGTGCAATCTAACCTTTAGTGACTTAGTAGCCTTCTCAGTTGTCGCTTCGGTAAGCACTGCCCGGTATCACAGTGCCTGTGTTGAAATAAACTTGATTTTACTTTATAATGGCCACATTGTTCAAGCATAGTGATGCTAGCAGTTTGGATATGCCAAAGAGAATCCAAAACTTTTATCATAGGTATATTTGTATTGGAATGCTTATAATATATTTAAGGTTTATTACAATCAGTTTCAGGCATCCACCCATCTCTGGGTCTTGGAATGTATCCCCTAGAGATAAAGTGGGCCTGCTATATAATAATAGCACAAAACGGGAGAAGAGGTAATGCACCTATATAGCAGTGATATTTCTGATGCTGGAATTTTTTCAGCATCAGTCTGAAGTCTATCTGGAATTTTTTCAGTATCAGTCTGAAGTAGATTTAAAAATTTACAGTGTTGGTAGCTACACAACTCTGAATATAAATATATATATATATATTTTGTAATTTTTTCCTTTATTGGTTCTAGAGAAAGAGGGAGAGGAGGGTGGGATACAGAAACATCAATGAGAGAGGACATCGATCTGTTGCCTCTTGCATGGCCCCCAAAGGGGATCAGGCCCACAACCTGGGCATATGCCCTGACCTGGAATCTAACCAATATCCTCTTGGTGCATGGGTCAATGCTAAATCACTGAGTCACACCTATGGACTGAATATATATTCTAAAAATCCATTAAATTCTCTTTTAATATGGGGAAAATGTATGTTGTGCTGTATATTTTGTAAAAATAGCTTTCTGAACTACAAGTACGAAGAGTTTAAGAAAGATTTACATCAGTGGGAAGATATTTTGAGGGAGAAAAATTGTGATTCTTACTGTATTATTAGTTACTTCAGCATTTCTCCCCTCAAATACTATTCTGATTGCCTCCTTCTAACATTACTATACTTTGCATACTTGACTCTTATGACTTGGTTTTTCTTACTTGTACCCATTGAAACAAGACCAGAGCATGTAAAATATGTCCACTAATGTTTCCAAGTATTGTGTTGCTACCGCTGATGTAAATTTCCCAAAATATTTTTAATCAATTAATGAACGTTCGTTCTTCACAATATAAAGCATTCTTATTTATTTTGTTAATGCCATCCTTTCTGTAAGGAAAGTGATGTGGTATATTTGGGCTAACAGAATCATAGTACAAACTTTCATATGTATTTATGGGCATAGCCATTTCTTCAAAGCAAGTGTTCTGCTGTGCATTGTTGGGACCATGGGAGGTTTCTAACTGCACTTGAATGGTCTACCAGAACTTGACTTCCACTGAATAAATTGTTGAACCAGATATCAACTTTATGTCGCCAATCATATTTATCCCTTTCACAATTTCTCTAATACCTTTTATACATTATTTATGTCACTAGACCAAGTTAATAGTTATTACTTATAGCAAAAACTTTGAATCATATGCAAACTAAAGTGAAAATAAATCCAGATGAAACCCTGCTACTACTGCAATCTTAACCAATTCCTCATTGCAAAATGCAATGTCTCCATCCAAAGAAACCAAAGAATATACTTTTCTTAGTCCAATCAATGTCTTTATATTCTCTTAATTGTATATGTCTACCTGATTTACAGTTTCAGAAATTAAAGGGGAATTAAAATTTTCCTGGATGAGTTAAAGTATTTCTGACTCATGGTAAGTTTCTGTGACTAAACAGTCCATGGATTGTTACTTGTCTTCCGGTTAAAGAACAAACACACAAAGACTTAAGTTCTTCAAGAAGTACAGCCCAAGGGAAAAAGAGCTTTGATGTGATCCTGGAAGTAATTTTACTATCCTAAATTATCTGGGATGATTCAATCTGCAAAAGAATGAATGTGTATGGAATAAGATCTCTTTAAGGAATTATGTGGCAAAGCTCCTAAAATATGTATCAATTTTGTCATTTCCTAGATATTAGGTTCTGGACAAATTAACATCTCTGAACATCAACATCACATGCCTATATCCTTTCTAGATCTGTTCCAATTTAAGGTTATGTGATTCTGCAACCCAAACATTTCATATAGTGATTTTCTGTATAATCAAACATGCTAGTTACACCCAAAATGCACACCCGCTCAAGGAAACATATATATTCACAGGTAAAAGATTTCTATGAAAATGAGCATATGATGTGTTTTGAAATCTTGTTATTTATGTAGGGACTAATGTGGATGGCTCAACAGAAGCAATTGCACGTGGCATCATAAAGGGGCAACTCAAGACACAATCAATGGATTTCCCAGGTAAAAACAAGAAATTAAGGAATATAATATCTCAGGTTTACTTATCCTCTTAGTACTTGAATTAATTGTGGATCTCTAAGAACAAAAGTTCCTATAGCTGACTTTTACATGGAGAAAAGTTTTCATGTATACCCTCCATTAAGTAAACTCTTGCATTAGTACAGCCACACACTGAAGGTATTTTTAGGTTTAGTTACAAAGCATTTCTATAGAGTGAATACCACAAAAAGCAAGTCACATGAAAGTTTTGGTGTCCCATCATATTAAAAATTATGATTACACTATACTGTAGTCTACTCTGTGTGCACTACTAGCATTTGATCTAAATAACAAATCAATGCACGATGAATTAAAAACAGTGTATGGCTAAAATCTGCTAATAGTCACCTGAGCCTTCAGTAAGTTGTAATTTTTGCTGGTGGACAGTCTTTCCCAAATGTGGAGGACTGCCAATGGAACAGAGTGATGGTTGCTGATGGTTGGGGTGTCTATACAAATTTCTTAACATAAGACAACATTGGAGTTTGCCACATCCATAGACTTCTTTTTATGGATGATTTCTCTGTAGCATCGATGCTGTTTGATAGCATTATAGCCACAGTAGATCTGCTTTTAAATTTGGAGAAGTACTTTCAAATCTGCCACTGCGTTATGAGCTAAGTTTAGCTAACGTTTCATTTTTTATTTAATTAATAATTTGTTTATTTATTTTTGTTACAGATGTTTCTCTTTTTCCTCCCACTGATTTACCCCTCCCTCTCCCTCCCCACCCTGTCCCCAGCTTTGTTGTCCATGTCCATTGTTCATGCACACATGCATATAAGTTCTGTAGTTTATGTCTCCCCCACCACCCTCTCTTCTGGGGATTGTCACTCTGTACCCCACTTCCACGTCTCTGAAACTACCCCACTCTTCAGACTGTTATGTTCATTATATTCCACGAATAAGTGAGATCATATAATACTTGTCTTTCTCTGTTTGGCTTGTTTTGTTTAGGATAATACTTTCCAGGTCCCTCCATTTTGTCTCAAAGGATAAGAGATTTTTTTTTTCTTACAGCTTCATAGTACTCCATTGTGTATATGTACCACAGATAGCTAATGTTTTAAATCCTTTGTTGTCCATATTGCTTTCCATAGTGGCTGCACCAGTCTGCATTCCCACCAGCAGTGTACTAGAGTCCCCATTTCTCCACACCCTCGCCAACACTTGTTGTTTGATGATTTGTTGATGGCGGCCATTCTGACAGGTGTGAAGTAATACCTCACTGTTATTTTAATTTGCATCTCTCTTATGATTAGTAATGTTGAGCATTTCTTCATATGTCTCTTGCCATTTGTATTTCCTGTTTGGAGAGGTGTCTATTCAGCTCCTCTGCCCATTTTTAATTGGGTTATTTGTCTTCCTTTTGTTGACTTGTATGAGCACTCTATATATTTTGGAAATTAACCCCTTACCTGATGTATCATTGGCAAATATGCTCTCTGAGAGAATGGATTGCCTTTCCATTTTGGTGGTTGTTTCTTTTGCTGTGCAGAAGCTTTTGAGTTTGATGTAGTCCCATGTGTTCATTTTCTCCTTTGTTTCTGTTGCCTTAGGTGATGTATCAGTGATAATTCTGCTGCATATGATGTCTGAAATTTTGTTGCCTACATTTTCTTCTAGAATTTTTATAGATTCATGAGTCACATTTCAGTTAAAAATTGAACTGCCATTTGACCCAGTGATCCCACTTCTAGGAATATACCCCAAGAAGCCTGAAACACCAATCAAAAATAATATATGTACCCCCATGTTCTTAGCAGCACTATTTACAATAGCTAAGATCTGGAAACAGCCCAAATGCCCATCAGTAGATGAATGGATAAAAAAAAGCTGTGGTATATATACACAATGGAGTACTATGCAGCTATAAGAAAGAAAGATCGCTTATCATTTGAGACGACATGGATGAACCTGGAAAGTATTATCCTAAACAAAACAAGCTAAACAGAGAAAGACAAGTATCACATGATCTCACTTATCTGTGGAATATAATGAACATAACAGTCTGCGGAATGGTGTAGTGCCAGAGATGTGAAAGTGGGTACTGACTGACAATCCCCAGAAGAAGGAGTGGGGGGGAGAGATAAACCACAGAACTTATATGCATATATGCATTAACAAGGGACATGGACAACAAAGCTGGGGACAGGGTGGGGAGGGGTGAGTCAGTGGGGGAAAAGGAGAAAAATCTGTAACAAAAATAAATTAATTAATTAATAAAAATAAATAAATAAAATAAAACACAAACATTTCAAAAAAAATAAATCCTTTGGTGTCCATTCAATAATATTAAAAACATCTTTTCTAAAGGTAAATATCATCAAGAAAGCACTATCTTTGATCATTCATAAGAAGATGCTTCTTATCCATTAAAATTTTATCATGAGATTACAGCAGGAATTTGGCCACCAGTTCTTCAGGCTTAATTACTATTCTAGTTGTCTTGCTATTTTCAACACCCCACCAGTTAAGTCCTTCATGGAATCCTTGAATGTTTCCAAGTCATTTCATATTGTCAAAATCTAGTATTTTCTAATTTCTCTTTCTATTGATATTTTGACCTCTCCCAATAATCACAGGTTTTGTGGATGGCATATATAATGGTGGGTCATTTCCAGAATGTTTACTAATTACTTTCCTAGGTCCATCAGAGCAAATACTATCCATGGTATCTATGCCATTTCAAAAGGCATCTGAATCCATGACTATGATGACCATAGTTTGTAACCTGACCTAGGAAAATCTATTTGTCCTCGTCTGCCGAGTTTATCCTTCCAAAATATATGTGTTCTTTCGTATGTTTGAAAGTGATGTTATGAATATAAGCTCTCTGGGATGATTTAAATTTTCAATAGGATCTTTATGTTATGAGAAAACACCCAGTTAAGGATTTATGAGAAATGAGTTTCTAATTGACTTTAGCCACTAGCTGGATATGTCACCCTGATCAAATCACTGAACATGTATAACCCTCAGTATAATAAGGCTTATGTGATCGCTAATGTCTGAAATGATTCTAAGGTGTTCATTTCTGAAACACAGGTATTTTATTGTATTTCTTTTCCTGTGACAAAATGCTAAATAGAAGAGTACTAGACACAAACACACACTCACAAAACAACACACACACACACAAACACATCAACACACAAATGTTAATTTTTCCATACAAAACTTATTTAAATCTGCTTATATCTATAGATACTGATACAGAATACTTACCAGGTATGCTGGGAAGAAATATAATAAAAGGAGAAGTCAAGACACAATCAAAGAGTCACTCTGGTAAGAACAAGAAAATTGTAAGTCTAGTTATTGTTTATTTATCTTCTCAGAAGTTTATTTAAGTTTGGCCCCGCAATGACCACAGTATCTATATTCTATTATTAGACAATTAAGCACTCTCATAAATTATTCCTACATAATCCATAGAACTCTACTTTTAATAGAATATTAGCTACATAATATATGTTTTAAAATGCATCTATGTAAAGTGATCCACAAAAAGACAAAGCTATTGTGAGCTTTGAATATTCTTTCTGAAAGCCTATAAAATGCAATATAATCTTTTTATATGTTAGACTCAATGGGATAGTTGCTTTGTATTTGTAAAAGTAAAAAACCTACATAATGCATGGGTTTAGAAGGAAATTAAACAATATAAATATAGCATTGTATTTATTCCATCCTTGTGATTAAACTATAAGGCTAATTTCTAATATCTCAGGTAAATTAATGACCTTTAAGTTTTGTTTTTTATTTAATAAAATTTAGAGTATCATATTCTGCTCCTTATCCTTATAGATCAGTACATAACATACTTCATTATATTTGATATGGTACTAAAGGAAGCAGGCAGGTAACAGAGCAATCAGGGAGGAGACAGTAAAAGAAAGGTTCTCAAAACAACTGGCATGAAAATGTGACTGTGTTCAAGACCTACGTTCCCACCCTCACAGGAGCAACAGTAGAAGCTTGACACTGCAGGGAAGATGACTCCAGTAAAATAGGAGAGTCCAGTCCCATCACTCAATAAATAACCAGGCACTTTTTACTGAGAAGAATAAAAAGACGCCAAAAGGGAGGCTAACCCATTTTCCAGATTTGCTACTATACATTGTATAAGGTACCCTAGTTTTACCACAAAATATATGAGACATGCAAAAATAAAAATAAGCAAGTGTGAACTATACACAAGAGAAAAGCAATGCATAATTAAAAAATATCAAAATAAAAATTATTTAACATTGTGATATTGGAAGTAAAAAAAAACATCAATGTAAGTCAAGGATAATAAAGACATCTGAAGTCACACATATGAAAAAAAACTAATGTTGCATATTTCAGGTTTAGTTATTTATATAATTTATATATTTTTTAAGTAAAGCATCCTATGCTTAAATCAGAAAACAATGTAAGTCACTCTTCCCCTCAAATAAAAGTATCAACTAAAAGATAGAATTATATATGAAAATAAAAACATTGAAAATTGTGGCATTGAAATTATAATACCTGTATAGTAAAATTCACTAGAGTGGCTCTAGCATTGATTTGGTCAAAAGAGTCTCTACACTTAAAATAATGGGAACTGTAAGTAGAGCGGAGAGAAAAGGGCCAAAAAATCATGGGAAGAAATAATGGCTGGAATTTCTCAAACATATTAGATGACATCTAGCAAACTGCACACCCAAACTCAATTTAATCTAAGTAGAATAAGTACACCGAATTGCACAACCAAACCTATCACGGTAAAAGATATGAAAGACAGAGAAAATCATAAAGCCACAAACAGGAAAGAATTCATCATGAAAAGGAGAAATAGCTGACTTCAATCACGAACTGCGGAGGCCCACAGGCAGTTGGATGGCATTTTTACTAAGATAATAGAAAAAACTGTCATCAAGGATGTTATATCCAGCCAAACTCTTTCAGAGCGTAGGAGAGAAAAAGAGATTCCCAATTTGAAAAAAAAATAAAAACTATAAAGAAGAGTCTGGCTGCCAGCAGACCTGATTTAAAATACTAGAAAGGAAGGTTCTTTATGTTGAAAGCAATTGACTTAAGACAGTAATTTGAATCCCTACTTTAAAGAAGTATGGGTTCAAGGAATTTCACATTTCCAAAAGGCAGTATGAGTGCATTTTTGTCTCTGTAGTGGATTTTAAAGTATTTCTATTGTAGCACCTATAAAATATTGAAAAGTAATACTTTCCACAATAGCATGACAAAGGAGATGTGTGGGATTTGCAATGTATTTGAGTAAGGTGATACAGCAGACATTAACTTAAATGTGCAGGAGCATATAAAAAGAACAAAAATTATCAATAAGGTGGATCACATAAAATAACATTGTAAATATATACATTTCTTTCTTCTCTTAACTTCTTCAGAGGGCACACAGTTATAAAAAAATAAGTATCACAAATAAGTATGTTTATATCATAGGTATACTCAGTACTATAGTGCCCCAATGTCTGTAGTTTTAATTAGTGCATTTTAGTAATCCATGCTTAATCTCCATCTAAACATATCAAATGGAAAATTTCAGATGAATAATTCCTAAATTTTAAATTAACAACCATTCTGTGGAGCACAATGAATCTCATGATGTCCCTTCCGTCCCACTCTGGACATGAATAATCCATTTGTCCAGCCTATACACACTGAGCATGCAATCTAACCTTTAGTGACTTAGTAGCCTTCTCAGTTGTCGTTTCGGTAAGCACTGCCCGGTATCACAGTGCCTGTGTTGAAATAAACTTGATTTTACTTTATAATGGCCACATTGTTCAAGCATAGTGATGCTAGCAGTTTGGATATGCCAAAGAGAATCCAAAACTTTTATCATAGGTATAATTGTATTGGAATGCTTATAATATATTTAAGGTTTATTACAATCAGTTTCAGGCATCCACCCACAGCTGGGTCTTGGAATGTATCCCCTACAGAAAAGGTGGGCCTGCTGTGTAATAATAGCACAAAAAGGGGAAAGTGGTAACACAACTATATAGGAGTAGCATTTCTAGATCTATCTGAAAAATTTTTAGTATCTATCTGAAGTAGATTCTTAAATTTACAATGTTGGTAGTTACACAGTTCTGAATATATATTTCAAAAATCTATTAAAATTTTTTTAAATGGAGAAAATGTATAGTATGCTATGTATTTGATTAAAATAGCTTTCCAAACTACAGTAGGAAGAGATTAAGAAATATTTACATCATTGGTAAGATATTTTGAGGGGACTAAAGTGTGTTTCCTACTTCTTTATCAGTTACTCCAGCATTTCTCCCCTCAAATGTTATTGCCTCCTGCTAATCTTATTATACTTTGCATACTTGATTCTTATGACTTGATTTTTCTTACTTATATCGAATGAAGCATGACAAGAGCAAATAAAATATGTCCACTAATGTTTCCCAGTTTTGTGTTGCTACAGCTCATATATCTTTCCAAAAATGCTTCCCATCAATTAACGAACACTTCTTCTGCCAAATATGAGGAATTTTTTAATTTTGTTTTTGATAGCCCAGCTGTTATTCTCTCTGTAAAGAAAATGGCGTGGTACATTTGGGCTAGCAGAATCATAGTGTGAACTTCTATATATATTTATAGACTCAATCATTTCTTCAAAGCAAATGTTCTGCTGTACAGTGTCAGGACCATGGGCAGTTTCTAACTATACTTGCATAGTCTACTAGAACTTGACTTACACCCAATAAACCATTCACCCTGAAGTCGACTATAGGTCGTCCATCATATGTATCCCGTTGATAACATTAATGTCCCTGTAATATCTTTCATGCATATTTTATGTCACTAGACCAAGTTAATAGTTATTCATTGTAGCAGAAACTTTGAATCATATGAAAATTCAGGTGGAAATGAATCCAATCTGGACCCTGGTCCTGCTGCATTCTTGCAAATCACAACATCTCCATCCATAGGAACCAAAGAAGACACTTTTTCTCAATCCAATCAATGCATTTTTTATTCTCTTAATTGCTGATATCTACTTATTTTATAGTTACAAAATCTAAGGGGGAATTAAAAATTTTCTGAATGAGTCCAAATATTTCTGACTTATCATAAGTTTCTGTCACCACACAGTCTATGGTTTGCTACTTGTCTTGTAAAAAACAGAGAAACCAACTGAGTCAAACAAGCAACTAAATTCTTCCTCATGAAGTACATTCTTATAGAAAGAGTGAGTTTAAATGTAAGCCTAGAAGTAATTTTATTTTCATAAATTACCTGGGATGATTTTAATTTGTATAGAGAGAATTTGTAAGGAATAAGATCTCTTTAAGGAATTATGTACCATATCTCCTAAAATGTATATCAATTTTGTCATTCGCTGGTAATTTGGTTTTGGACAAATCACTAAAAATCTCTGAACCTCAACATAATATGACATATCCTTACTCCATTTGTTTCACTTTAAGGTTTTGTGATTCCAAATTGAGGTATTACACTACAATACTTTGCTCTATAGTCTTTGCTCTACTTATACCTAACACAGACACATACTTATGGAAACATATATATTCACATGTAAATTATTTGTACATAAATGATCATATGATGTGTTTTGAAATCTGTTTGTTTGTGTAGGGATTAGTATGGAACGCTCAAAAATTGCAGTAGCTGGTGGCATAACAAAGGGACAACTCAAGACACAATCAATGGATCTCCCAAGTAAGGACAATTTAAAAAATATAATATTTCAGGTTTATATATCCTCTTAGTAGTTGAATTAAGTGTGAATCTTAAAAAAAAAAAAAGTTCCTATAGTTTAATATTACATGGAGAAAATTTTTCATTAATACCCTCCTTTAATTAGTTCCATTCTTACCTTAACTACAGGCATAACTTGGAGATATTTTAGGTTTGGTTCCAGAGCATTGTACTAGTGTGACTATGACAAAAAACAAATTACATGAAACTTTTTAGTTCTCATAGGGTATAAAAGTCATTACTACAGTGTACTGAAATCTGTACTGTATGCAGTAGCATTTTATCTAAAAAATAAATCTATGCATATCTTTAGTTTAAAATATTTTATGGCTAAAAATTCCTAATAAACATCTGAGACTTTAGTGAGTTGTAATTTTTGCTGGTGGAGAGTCTGCCCCTAATGTTGATGGATGGCTGCTGACAGATCAGAGTGGTGGTTGCTGAAGGTTGGCGTAGCTGTGGAAATTTCTTAAACTAAGACAGCAATGGAGTTTGCCACATCCATAGACTCTGCCATCCAGGTTGATTTCTTTGTTACTTGAAATGCTGTTTGATAGCATTATGCCCACAGTAGATCTTTCTTAAAATTAGAGTAGTACTCTCAAAACCTGCCACTTCTTTATCAGCTAAGTTTTGGTAATGTACTAAATCCTTTGTTGTCAATTCAACAATCTTCACAGTATTGTTTCTAAGAGTAGGTTCCATCTCAAGAAACAACTTTCTTTTATCATTCTTAAAAAAATGCTCCTCACCCACTAAAGTTTTATCATTAGTTTGAAGCAATTAAGCCTCCAGTTCTTCAGGCTCCATTTGATATTGTAATTGTCTTGCTATTTCCACCACATCACCAGTTACTTCCCTCATAGAAACTTGGAACTTTTCAAAGTCATCCAGGAGGGTCAGAATCAACTTCTTTCAAACTCTTGTTATGATTGATCTCCTTCATGAATCACAAGTTTTGTAACTGGCATATATCATAGTGGGTCATTTCCAGAATATTTACCACTTAATTTTCCCAGGTCCATCACAGCAAACACTATTAATGGTAGCTATTGCATTTCAAAGTGCATTTCTCCTGTATTAAGAGTTGAAGTTACTCAAAATTACTCTTCTTCACCCAATTGCGTCAGAACAGATGTAGTGTTAGCTGGTGTAAAACACTAGTAGTCTCATTGCCCATCTCCGTCAGATCTCTTGGGTGAGCAAGTACTTTGACAGTTTGCAGCAATATTTTGAAATGAGTCTTTTTTTTTTTTTCTGTGTTAGGTCCAACAGGGCTAAAATATTCATAAATCCATGTTGTAAACTGATGTGCTCTAATCTGTGTTTTGTTCTAATTATATAGTATAGGCAAGGTAGGTGGAACATAGTTCTGAAGCCTCCTAGAATTTTTAGACTAGCAAATGAGCATTGGCTTCAAAGTAAACTCACCAGATACATTAAATTCTAACAATATGGTCAGCCTGTTGTTTGAACCTCTGGAGGGAGTCACTGACATTTCCTCTCTACCTATGAAGGTTTCTATCGGCATCATCTTCAAATATGAGTCTTCTTTGTCAGCACTGAAATCTGTTGTGTAGTTCAGCCATCTTCAATAATTATCTTAACTAGAGCTTCTGGATAATTCCATGCAGCTTATTCATGAGCACTTGTTTATTTGGCTCTTTTATGTTTATGGAGGTGACTTCCTTTTCTTTCTTTTTTTTTTTTCTTTCTTTTTTTTTTTAACCTCCTGAAACAATCAATCTATAGGAACTTCAAACTTTTTTTTCTATATTCTTCATACTGTTAAAGACAGTTAGGATCTTGTTCTGGATTAGAGCTAGGCTTAAGCGAATGTTTTGTCTGCTTGATCTTGTATGAAAACCACTAAAACTTTCTCCATGTCAACAATAAGACTTGCTTTACTATCTTACCCTTCTTGCAATCTGTGGAGTAACACCTTTAATTTCCTCCAATAACTTTCCCTCTGTATTCACATCCTGTCTTACAGGTGCAAGTGACCTAGCTTTGGGCCTATCTTGGTTTTTGTCATGCTTTCTTTACTACATATAATTATATCTAACTTGATTTAATGGAAATATGTGACACTCTTCCTATCACTGGAACACTTGGAGGCAAATTTGGAATTTTTTTTTTCATTTTATTTTATTTTTTCTTAATTATTTATTTTTTGTTACAGATATTTTACCTTTTTTACCCCATTGGCACGCCCCTCCCCACCCCACCCCCGCCCCGTCCCCGGATTACTTGTCCATGTCCATTTGTCAGGCATACATGCATATAAGTTCTGTGGTTTATCTCTTCCCACCGCCCCACCCCCTCTTCTGAGGGATGTCAGTCTGTGCCACACTTCCATGTTTATGGGTCTACCGTATTCCTCAGACTGTTATGTTCATTATATTCAGTATATAAGTGAGATCATGTGGTATTTGTCTTTTTCTGCTTGGCTTATTTCACTTAGGATAATACTTTCCAGGTCCCTCCATGTCGTCTCGAAGGATAAGAGATCTTTCTTTCTTACTGCTGCATAGTACTCCATTGTGTATATGTACCACAGCTTTTTTATCCATTCGTCCACTGATGGACACTTGGGCTGTTTCCAGATATTAGCTATTGTAAATAGTGCTGCTATGAACATGGGGGTACATATATTCTTCCTGATTGGTGTTTCAGGCATCTTAGGGTATATTCCTAGAAGTGGGATCACTGGGTCATATGGAAGTTCAATTTTTAATTTTTTGAGGTAACACCATATTGTTTTCCACAGCGGCTGAACCAATCTGCATTTCCACCAGCAGTGTATTAGAGTCACCTTTTCTCCACACCCTCGCCAACACTTGTTGTTTGATGATTTGTTGATGGCGGCCTTTCTGACAGGTGTGAGGTGATACCTCATTGTTGTTTTAATTTGCATCTCTCTGATGATTAGTGATGTTGAGCATTTCTTCATATTTCTCTTGCCCATTTGTATGTCCTGTTTGCAGAGGTGTCTATTCAGCTCCTCTGCCCATTTTTTAATTGGGTTCTTTGTCTTCCTTTTGTGGAGTTGTATGAGCACTCTATATATATTGGAAATTAACCCCTTATCTGATGTATCATTGGCAATGATGTTCTCCCATACAGTGGGTTGCCTTTCCATTTTGATGATTGTTTCTTTTGCTGTGCAGAAGATTTTAGTTTGATATAGTCCCATGTGTTCATTTTTTCCTTTGTTTCTGTTGCCTTAGGTGATGTAGCAGTGAAAATTCTCCTGTGTATGATGTCCGAAATTTTGTTGCCTACATTTTCTTCTAGAATTTTTATGGATTCATGGGTCACATTTAAGTCTTTTATCCATTTTGAGTTTATTTTTGTGTATGGTGTAAGTTGATTGTTAGTTTCATTTTTTTACACGTAGCTGTCTAATTTTCCCAACACCTTTTATTAAAGAGGCTGTCTTTACTCCACTGTATGCTCTTGCCAACTTTGTCAAATATTAATTGATCGTATTGCTTTGGGTCCATTTCTCAGTTTTCAGTTCTGTTCCACTGGTCTATATGCCTGTTCTTGTGCCAGTACCAGGCTGTTTTGTTTACAGTCGCTTTGTAGTATAACCTGATATCTGGTATTGTGATCCCACCTACTTTGTTCTTCTTTTTCAAGATTGCTGTGGATATTCCGGATCTTTTTTGGTTCCATATGAACTTTTGAAGGATTTGATCTAGTTCTATGAAATATGTCGTTGGTATTTTGATGGGGATTGCATTGAATCTATAGATTGCTTTGGGTAGCATGGACATTTTAATGATGTTAATTCTTCCAATCCATGAACAGGGTATGTGCTTCCACTTTTTTATATCTTCCTCTATTTCTTTTTTCAATGACCTGAAGTTTTCTGCAAATAGGTCCTTTACTTCTTTGGTTAAGTTTATTCCTAGGTATCGTAATTTTTTTGGCGCGGTGGTAAATGGGATTGTTTTTTCAGTTTCTCTTTCTGTGAGTTCATCCTTGGTGTACAAGAATGCCATCAAATTCTTGACATTAATTTTGTATCCTGCTACTTTGCCAAATTTATTTATTAAGTCTAGTAGATTTTTGATGGAGTCTTTAGGGTTTTCTATGTATAATATCATGTCATCTGCAAATAATGACAGTGTCACTTCCTCCTTTCCAATTTGGATCCCTGTTATTTTTTCTTAATGTGTGATTGCTGTGGCTAAGACTTCCAGTACAATGTTAAATAAGAGTGGCGAAAGTGGACATCCCTGTCTTGTTCCTGTTCTTAATGGAAATGTTTTTAGTTTCAGTCCATTGAGTATGATGTTGGCTATAGGTCTTTCATATATGGCGTTTATTATGTCGAGATATGATCCCTCTATTGCCACATTGCTGAGCATTATTATCAGAAATGGATGCTGGATTTTGTTGAATGCTTTTTCAGCATCTATTGATATTATCATGTGGTTTTTATTCTTCATTTTGTTTATGTGGTGTATCACATTTATTGATTTGCGAATATTGTACCAGCCTTGCATCCCTGGAATGAATCCCACTTGGTCATGGTGAATAATTTTTTTGATGTATTTCTGGATCTGATTTGCTAATATTTTGTTCAGGATTTTGGCGTCTATGATCATCAGGGATATTAACCTGTAGTTTTCTTTCTTGGTAGTGTCTTTTTCTGGTTTTGGAATTAGAATTATGCTGCCCTCGTAGAACGGATTTGGAAGTCTTCCTTCTTCTTGAATTTTTTGAAATAGTTTGAGCAGAATGGGTGTTAGTTCTTTTTTGAATGTTCGGTAAAACTCGCCCGTGAAGCCATCTGGGCCAGGGCTTTTGTTTGCTGGAGTGTCTTGATTACCTCTTCAATTTCCTTAGTTGTTATTGGTCTAGTTCAAGTTTTCTAGCTCTTCTGGGTCCAGTTTTGGGAGACTGTGTGTTTCTAGAAATTTGTCCATTTCGCTTAGATTGTCGAATTT